ATGAAGAAATAATATCCCCACTTCTCTATTGACAGCTGGGGTTGGAAGGAGATGCTATAGCAAATCCACCTTCTAAACTGACAACCTTGTTTTAAGACAGCATTACTTGCGCATGTATGTATATGAGTTGGAGGCAAGCAATGAGAAAGAGTCATAAAATTGGTTTCCCTAATTTGTAGCAAGACCCGTTTTCTTCAGCCATTCTCACTTTAGCATCTGAGACTACATGTGACTCATTCCAAGTTCAGAAAACAGTCGTTTAACTTCCTCTTACAATTTCTTAAGTTGTATACTACCTTCTGACTCCTACAAAGGATCCTGCTCTGTTGACATTTGTATTTTCACAGTTCTTGTCCATGACGGTGACTTAACAAAATTCCCTTGAGTTCAAAAGTTATGGAAGAGACACAAAGGAATATTATTATAAGATGGGCTGGATTAGTTTTATCTGGGGGTACGTGAATTAGCTTTGTATATATTTCTGCTTGCCTTTTCTTTCTCCCCTTTTTAGCAACAAATCTGATACAAAGATTAGTTTACCTATTCTTTACTTTTAGTTCCTTGTGAATCCATATAAACAAAGAGAATATGAGTTGAGATAAATACCATTCATTTTATACACTCACCTCCTATCTTCTTGACTATTGCTATTTATAAGGAGGTTTATAAATCAGAAAATTCTTACATTTCCTGAAATATCCTAGGAATCTCTTTCACAAATTCAAATAGCTATTTTGCCTAGATTTGCAGATTGAAACAAGCTATGGCAAAACTGAAAGCATAATTCCTTTGGTACTACCAAAACAATATTATTGGAATATCCAAGAAGGATATTCTGTTTCAAGATTATGTGTGCATAGACTCATGCTGAACTTTCAGCAATTCTCATAGAAGACTTCACCACTTTCTCTTTTTTGAATCTAAACATATAATAGTATTAAATAATATTTATTGATTATAGTTCCGGGTACCATGATGAATAATCATGAAAATAACCTTAAGAAGCAGGTATAATTAGTGTCTCCATGAGACAATGGAAATACAGGTTAAAAAATATTTTTAGTCAAGCAATTAGAGTGGTAGAACTAGGATTCAAGCCTAGATCTTTCTCACTCGCACTTCTCACTCCCACAAGAAAACCTTCACCATTTGTACATACCACTTTATCTACCCTAATAAGAATAAAAGCATTATTTAAACTGTTTAGGAAGTACCACTGGTTTTTTCAGAGGGTGGGGGTGGGGTGGTGGGCAAGGGGAACTCCTTCAATTTAACTCTTTCTGTAAACTAAGACTGAGTTAGAATCAATAATGGAAATATTCCTGTGCTACATACTGCAATTTGAGTAGAAAAAAAAATATTTTTTAAATGTTCCTCTTGACTTCTACCTTTGCTATATAAACTCCCTCTCTTCCCTCTTTTCATTCTTTGGCACCTTTCTTTCCAAACCAATTGCCAGATAACCATTAAGCTCCAAAAACATGGCCTGTCCCAGGTCTCGAATAAAGCTATATTTTTCAATGAGTGGGGTAAGCGCTTACTGTAAAGTGGAAATTTTTCAGGGAAAAAACGATTGGTGAATGATTTCATTATGTTTTATTATAGTTAAGTGCTAATTAAAGTGTGTTATTAGTGTGACTCAGTTTGTTCAACCTACTGAGAAGTTCTTTGATATTCTGGCGTGGTTCAACTAAGGTAGTACACTATATTTTATTCATTCTGTGTTTCCAAGAATGTTTTCAATGTTTAAGAGGAAAAGAGACATGAGTTTGTATTTCAACATGCCAGGTAAGACTTAAAACAGCTAGGCATCTGTAGCTTGTGGACAAAGTATCAATTACATTATCTGCTTATGGAGCAGCTTTGCTCAGAAAGAAATTCAGAAGAATCAGACTTAAACCTGCTAACCATATGTATAAACTTGATTCTCTAAGCTAATATGCTCATGACATTTATCAGTAGTTGACTGAGGAAAAAGAGTCTAGCTGCTTAATCCTGTATTCAAATTTTATTAATTATATTTAAAATATATTTGGTCTTAAGGTAAACAAGTATTTCTCTGGACTCAGTGAAAGCATTTATTAGATATTTGATTATATTAATTTTGTGCTTCTAGCAAGAATGATAGAACTTTTACACCATAAGGGCTCCGAAAGATTAAGTCAAATCCCTTCAGATCACGAATATGTTGTTTTATAAAGGGATATAATTAAAACCAGCGGACTCCATCAGTGCAGAGATAATAACTGTGTGCCACCAACTTGAATAGAAAATGAGTGTACATGGGTTTCACTGATTAACTGCATGTAATTAGGAAATTTAAGCCAATTGGAATTAGAGCACCCAATTCAAATCTTGTGCCCACGACAACAAAACACTGCCTGAGATGAAGCTATTACAGCCTAAAGTTTTCCATTAGTGAATCCAATTATATCTAGTAAACTTTTTTTAAAATTTGAGTAGCTGTTACTTATACACATATGCTATTGAAACACGGTGAGCCATAATGCCTCTTTTGTCAGTTATTGTTCATTAAAATTGGAGGTAGGGTAAGACAAGGATGATCTTATTTCTTTACATTAAGTTGAAGATGGGCTATCTTGTCTTGAAAATAAATTAGAGGCAGTAAGGAAACCTCAAGGATCTGATTTTCAAGTGATAAAAATGTTTTTAAAACTTAGATCATTAGTTGAAAATTGAAATCACAGAGTACTTTCAAAAAATTAATTAAATTGAAGTGAATGAAATCATAGAAAGCCTTCTTTTGCTTTCTTAGTTTCTCAAAATGAAAATTTTCCCCAAAATGTTCACTTTTTATTTTTTACTCACAAAGTTAAAACTTTGAAAAATCTAAATTGGTAAATTGTTTTTTAAAAATGAAAAAGTATCAATGGACATGAAACAATCCGACAAAAGCTTCAACAGTTTTGATTTCAAATAGTTACTTTGTTTTATTCTATTCATATCTTTTAAATAGGCTTCTAGATGTTCACTAGAGCGCCTAGAGCCTACTGTAAAACTGTAATCTAGAGTTTCTGAGCATCTTTTTTTTGTTTTTAGATGATGTTTTAGGGTTGAACAAAGTAGAAAAGAATCTTCAATGCCTACTCTTTCCACAGAAACCTATAATCTTAGGAATGATGTCCTCAAAGAAGAGGATTCAAAGCCCTAAATTTAGAGTACAAATTTAGTTCAATTTAATGGACGAAGTACTGGGTCTGGTATACATTACCCATGATGTTATTTAAATGTGAGTTTTCAGAGATAAATGTGAAGAGTGTATGTGTGTGTTTATGTGTGTGTATACATTTTTTAAAAAACAATACTACTAAGAGAAGCAGTAATGGCATGATATCAATAAATCATTAATATCTTGTATCCACTATTTATTTTACTGTGCTTTGATGGTCACAATATTCAGAAGTCTGAGATTAGCCAAAAAGGGAATATTTGAAAATTTGGATCCCTGTCCTTTTACATATACGGTTAACCCAGCTCCATTCTTGTGTGTCTTACCTATAACATTGACCAGAAAATAAATTTAGACTAATCCTACATAACAGTGGTTTTTCAGACATGGTGATAAGGCATACTGACATGTTACAGTTTGTTACATGTGGCCACAACTATGACTACTAATACATAACTCAATAAGTGATTTGTTTGCTGTTCATATAAATTAGGTCGTATTTACAGATATTGCTCTAATTGCATCATTTTTCTCAGTTGAATTCCATGTGATTTCTTGGAAGAGAGAAAAAAGGGTATCCAATTCCATGCAATTCTGAGGGAATCCATGAGATGAACTCCTCATATGAATAATCCTCAGTATGTATGTAACAGTGAAAGAATAAAGATTGGTAACTGCTGCTGCATAATCCTATATTGGCAGCAGCTGCATGAGCCTGAGCAAGAGAATTGTGTTCACGGAGAAAAGTGCCAAAGGATACTGAAATGTAGACCCTGACAAATAAAGGTTATTTATTTCAGTTGAGCCAATTATATATTCACAGGTTTGCTCACCCTCTTTTCTGGCCCAAGGAGAATTTGGTTTTTTTTTTTTTTTTCCTTCCCAGGAGTATATAAATTCCACTTCAGTTTTTCTGGTGTATAAAAGGCTGTGCGAATATCTACCAGTAATTAATAGCCTTTCATTCCAAGTAAGTAATAGATAGGAGTGAATTTATTGTTTATGAGTATATCAATATCGTTTAAAAACGATATGCTGGAATAGAAAGGCAATGCTGAAGTGTAAAATTGCTAATGCAGGCTCATAGCCTGGAAAATGATTTCTTTTAATAGTTTTCTTCATTTAAAAGTTCGTCATTTGAAAATGTTCCCTTTCAACTGCAGATTTTGTGGTTTGGTGCACTGAAGGGGAAATTTATTCCTTTGACACATTTATTCTTTTAATAGTTATTCATTTGAAAAAGTTTCACTGGTTGCCCATAACTTTTGCAGTTTGCAGAGAGATTCATTCTTGACAGATTTTTTTAAATGTTTATTCATTTAAGTAGGTTCTCACTACACGGAATTGTTGCTAAGGTTTAAAAAAAAAAAATACTGGAGCTTCCTGGGGGTTCTGGTAAGGCAGTAATGCTAATCTTGACCTGTGGATTTTTCAGTGGCTCTGCAAGCCCCGGGATAACAAAAAAGAGTCATATCATTAGCAAAGAGGAGAAAAGTGAGCAATTGTATGGACAAAATTTACCTAATCATTATTAGATGTTCTTGGCTATAGTGTTAATTATTAATTTAGAAATCGCTACCACAGAGCATTTTCAAGAGGTGCGGTACAGTAAGTGGTCATGAAAAAAAAAGTATATCAAAATCTGCCACATAGATTTGAAAGCAGGGTGTTTCTGTCACCAATATTTTGTTTTAATCTTTAATATGACCATCTGACTTCAAACAAACTTTTGACTTATTTCGGGATTTTATCCAACTTAGGTTGGGAGTTGGGAGTATTCTCCTCACTCTCCACCCATTTTTATCCACAGTTCCGAAGACAGCGCCCACCAATGTAAGTGGAAGAAGTGGAAGAAGGCATGAGTTAGTCATTGCCTGGGAGGTAAGAAAACACATGTGTCACAAAGTACTTCAGGTGTTTGTTTGGCTTAGTGTGAGATTTAATTGTTTTATGATTAAGCAGTCCACCTGATTCATTTAGAGGCTAAAACCGGTGGAAGGAAGGAATTAACCACTGCTGAATAAATGCCACATTACCCAGGCTATCTCATTTAACCCATACAACAGTCTTATTAGTTGGGATGATTTTCTTCATTTTACAAATCATGAAACTGAGGCATTGTTACATACTTTCCCTAGTAAACAGAATTGTGACTTTGATTACAAAATTTGTGTTACGTTGTCTATCTCATCATATGGCTTCCAAAGTATCATTTGTCAAAGAAAAACAGTGGAGATGAAGGGGGAGGGGGTGTGAAGAGTACATTTATTCTCCATGAAGCCACCTTCCTTTTTTAATGTTAAATAACCTTATTATTGAATATAACCATGTAGCTCATAGGAATCTGTCTTAGAATATACAGAAATGGAAATGTCTGTTACAGCAAATAGAGCAACTCCTTTACAATCTCTAAGAACAATAAGAAGGTGTACAGAGATATCTTTTCCCAGTAAGAATTATTCCATGAGCACGTCACCTGTCCTATTTTTTTTTTGTCCTTTCCCCCTTTTCTTCAATAAAACTTCATACATTGTTTTTGATGTCTATAAAGGTATTAACTTTCCAATAGCTGACCTTCGCTGAGATGAAATTTCTCTACATGGAACTGCCTTTCCATGTAAGCTTTCATATAATGGGCTTTGTCTCTCTTCCACCACTTAATACATGGCTTTTCTTCATAACAAAATTCAAGGGAAAAAATCTACTTAGCAAATATTTATTGCGTATCTGCTGTGTGTGAAGCACTGTGCTGGACAGTGGCTGGCAACTTTTCCACATTGACTGGTCAATCACAATTATTCTTTTCTATGGTGTGCAGTTGAAGCCCATGTAACAATTTAAATCTACACTATATAGCACAAGAAGCTTCTTGAATACCATAGTCCAATTTTTTCATGTCAGCAACCATAAAAGCAATTGCAAAGCACACTAGAAAAAAAGGTTTTAACATTACTATATCTTACTTTTGTGGTCTAAAGGGCTCTGCAGAGCATTACCAATGACAAGATATTCCCAGCCACCAGACCATAGGACAGTTTTCCCCAACATGTTAATCCAAATATCTTCATTTCATATACATGACTAATTGGAGCAAATTTGTTTCACTTCAAAAGTTTTCAATTCTCTTGAGATTTTTGTACATTTCAACTGATACAATTTTTCTTCTTTTACCTTTAAAGCTTTTTAACTTTCAAAGAAGTGCCAAAGTGATTGTACTATTTTGGCTTCCAATGTAGTATAAAGATTTGAGATTCTCCTTTCTCTAGTTATCTATACGTGTTTTAAAATTAAGAATTGGGAGAAAGTGGATTTTTAATCAATCATTTTGATGATAATTAATTACATTTTTCTTCTTTAGCCAGTATCTGAAGAGTTTCAGAATGGGGAAGGCTTTGGCTATATTGTGGCTTTCAGACCCAATGGAACACGTGGCTGGAAGGAAAAAATGGTGACATCCTCTGAAGCTTCCAAATTCATTTATCGAGATGAAAGTGTCCCTCCTCTTACTCCCTTTGAAGTGAAAGTTGGCGTTTATAACAATAAAGGAGATGGGCCTTTTAGTCAAATTGTGGTCATCTGTTCAGCTGAAGGAGGTCAGATTTTTATTCCTATTATTTTTATTTAATATTTTATTTTGTTATACAAATAATCAGATATTGTTGTACATATGAGAAAATACAAATAAGGCAAAAGAAATTCATAATCTCACTAAACTTTTCAAATATATATTTTCCAACCTTTTTTAATTTTTTAAATTAAAAGTTGATTATTCCACGTATGTTTATGTTTTTCACACCCTGACAATATATGGCAAACATATATCCACGTAAACAACAATATTGGTAATCCCTGCAGTATATCCCTTTCTCTGGGTGGACATTAAGCCAATCATCTTTGATTTGAAATTTAGATACTTTTATATTTTTTCAATATATATGTAAAGTAGATTTAAATAAATGCTTCATTTATGTGACAAATAAATATTTCTAACCCTATGCATAAAGCACTGTACTAATAAAGAAGTTTCAGACAGGCCTTTTTCTTGGAAGCTTTTCAAACACACCATGAAATCCTATGACAATCTTATGAATAGACATTATTGTCTCCATTATGTAGAAAGAGAAATTGACTTTCAGAAAAGTTACAGAACGTGCTAAAGGTTACACTGCTTGTAGCTGAGAATTAAATCCAGGTTTGTCTAACCACTAACTCCTTGATTTTTGTATAACATGCTGCCTTTACAGGCATGACCATCTTTAAATCACAAGATAGAACTCATAGGTAAGCAGTACCAAGTAGACAATGTACCTATTTTCAGATGCGTAAACTGAAAAATGGTTATGCTTAATACATGGTAGAGCTACAGTGGAAACGCAGCTTCCTACATCAAAGATCCTGAGTTATTTTAAGTTTTAACAAAAAAATTCAATTTTCTGGGTGAGAAAAGTATAATAATAGATTTAGCTTCTTAAAGTTAGCAGGTTTTCTTCTTAGTCCTTCTTCTATTCAAATGTAGGATTTCAACTGACCTTACAAATGGGGAAAAAAATGAGAAAAGGAAAAAACAGACTTATGTTTCCTAAATTTACAAATGACTGAGAAAATATTCCATCAAAGGCAGCATTCATTTTACCCTCCCAATCAGTGTGGTAAATATAAACTAACCTTTATACTTCCTCTGTGCCCAGGACTTGAACAGCTCAAGAGTATTATTCATAATTAATAATTTTATCTCCCATGAAGCTCATAGCTTCATGGGGGATATAAATATAGTAATGTGAATATTAAAAAACAAAGATAATGGTTGATTTATGGAAGATGTAGCTTTTCAATAGTAAGCTGCCTCATATTTTTGTAATATAGAGCCAAATTTTAAAGCAGAATCAGAAAGTTTATCTTAGCATAACAATAGCCAGGGAAGTGAAGAATCAAGTAATGGCAAGGAACTATAGGTATTCTGATGAGATACTCATTGCACTTAGCATCTCAGATTTCTAAGGTGTTTTCAGATAAAGCCCGTAGGCCATGTTACTTATGTTATCTAACGTAAAGGTTAAAATCAAATATGAAATTGGAATCTCAAGCCTTAATCTACATTTATGGAAACTGAGTCTCAGAGAGGTTAAGTAACATACTCAAATTCACACCAGTAAGTGACAGTTACAAGAAATGATAGTAAGTAGCAGAGCTAGGATTTTAACCACGTCTATATGACTGGAAAGCACATTTTTTAACTATTACACTATACTGCCTCATCAGGAATGTATACAATAATGATATTTTCTATTATTTATTGCTCAAAAGATCTATTTTGAAGTACATGTGTTATTCAGGAGTGCATATTCTTTTTCCTTTTAAAATGTTGGAACCTAATTATCAATTATATAGCATCAAAGGTCACATGAGAGATTAATTGGAGAAGTTTGTGAGCATGCTTTTTATAGTAACAACAGTGCTGCCTGTAAGAAATTCAGCTTTGTAATTTCTTTGTCAACCTTTGCTTTGAAATTAATTTATAGCAACCACCTTGAGTTTTTTTACTTTGTGTTTTCTTAAACTTGAAATGGCTTGCCTTTGGAGATTTCTCTTTCAAGCTAGATAGAAAACGTGCATATTTTCTTTTAAAGACACTGAGGTTATTCCTGTAACATATTTCATAGTAATGTAACACTTCATTTATTTTAGTCAACTGAAATACAAAATATATCAGGCAAATTAAATCTGGACAGAGTCCTTTGTTCTGACAATGAAATTCAAGCATGTATTTGGCATTTACTCACTAATTAAGTTTACAAATTTGGAACTTTATATGAGTAAAGTGTTAGCATCATTAGAGTGTGTCAACCAAGAAAGGCAGGACAAGGGAAAAGACAAGCATTTACCTGGAGTTAGCGGAACCTGAGTTCAAATCTGATCACACTAACTAGACCATCTTGGGCAGTTTATTCAACTTTCTGAGGCTTAGCTTCCTCCACTTTAAAAATGAAGGTCTCAAAATAGAACATCTCTGGAATCTTGTACAAATCTAAAATTAAAACTCTGTCAATTTATTCTATATTCTAAAACGTCATTTTAGCCGGGAGCAGTGGCTTACGCCTACTATAATCCCAACACATTGGGAGGCTGAGGCAGGAGGATCACTTGAGCCCAGGAATTTGAGGCTGCAATGAGCTATGGCTTTTATGGCACCACTATATTGCAACTTGAGTGAAAGAGTGAGACCCTGTCTCAAAAAATTAAGTGGATTAAAATAAAACATTCTTTTTAACAATTGTCTTAGTACAGATAGTAATAATAGATCCACTTTTGCTATACAATAAAAAGGGAAAACCAACATCCTTTTTTAGTCACTTCACAATTTGCTTTACTTAAAAAGGAGTGAGCATTTCCAAGATTAAACCATTTTTAAAAAGAGGAAAGGCCTGTAATGCCCTTGTAAAATAACGTATTACACTCTTAGACTCTTGCCAGTGCAGGTTTCTCCCCTCTATGTCTATGGATGTTCAGACAGCTTCACAGTGTGTCTTTTATCATTACACTCTTGCCCAAAGCCCAACTAATCTGAGCTAGATTGTATTTCTCCATAAGACAAATCCTGCTTCCTTATTCTTCCGTTAACCCAATCCACTTGTTTATCACCTCAAAATCCCTCCACATTCTTAGATACAGTAAAGATCAAGAGGAGTGAGACAGCCTTTCTATTTCCATTTACAGGCTTAGTTCTTCCTCTTCCTTTCAAGATTACAGCTACATGCCTTAAGCACTGTGAAAAAGCCACCTTTTCACAGCTGACACCAAGCTGGGAAGAAAAATGTCAAATGCAGCTACCAGAATTTATGTTATTGGGAGGGAAGCATAGAACAGAAAAACGTACAAGGCACACCTTACACTACTACTTCTCAACCTGTTTCCCAGTGGAACATGGATAACAGATGACATTCATACCCAGAACATGCTTTTATACGTGTTTATGTGCATTCTCCATTCTCTCTATCCCTTTCTTTTCCTCTCAATAAAGTATCTCAGAATGCAAATACAATTACATTATTTCGGAGAAAACCTTGAAGTGACATGTTTTTCAAAGAAATCATCATTTACAAATGTTGATGCTTGATCAATAAATCACTTGGGATATGACCTTAAGTCTCACAACTCTGAGGTTTAGTATTGCCTTAGAGTACTCTCAGAAAAAGTTTCAAATGTTTTTTCTGCTAACCTTTCAATGTTGCCACAAGAGAAGCGACCCTTAATGACTCTGTCAGTGCCAAACGGCATCTGACATAAGCCCTGGAGAAGAGAGATATTTGCCTGCCAAGATATCCATGTACCCTGTACATGTGTCAAATATCTTTGCCATTTAAACCAAGCAAGGTTTATGGGCCTTCCTAAGCCTGACTTCAGACCTCTAGGGTATGATATAATTCTATACAACACCCTTATTTTGGAAACAATTCCGTTTGTTATAAAAAGAACAGTGAAATTCCAAAATAAGTTCTCAAAATGCATGGTAAAACTGATGAAAAATAATTCTTTTCCAAGATAAAAACATTAAATTGGCTTTGTCTTCCACATTTCAAGAAATAATGAATACTCAAACATACCCATTTTCCACTTAGTTCTTCTCACCGTAACTTCAGAAACGAAAAGAACTGGAGCATTCAATTAAACCTAATGGAAAAACAGAAGAAAATTTGATATAGTTAATTATAGGTTGAAAGATTTATTCACTTGTGATGTGCTTGATCCTTTATCCTTTCTAGTTTTCTTGGCTTTTGCCTTATCTGTAAAAAATGTCCTGCTCATATATTTATTAAACCTAAAAAGCCTGTCCTCATTTGCAGAAAATGATATACAATTATCTCATTGCAAGTGGAGCTACCACAGCCCAAATTAAAACCTAACGTTCCTAAGGTGTTATTCTCCAGATCCATCCTTAGCTGAAACTGAGCTCAGTGGGATTTATGTGAACTTGAAAATTAATCAATTGACATATTAGTTGTAAAATACAAGAAATAATTTCCTGTCTTTTCCAGATGATCTATTTGGATTAGTGCCTATAAAAGTTCAACTGCAGTTGTCTTAACCGAATTTTTAAATAATGAAACCATACCTTTTCTCTCCAGGAGTTTATTAAACTTTCTTTTGATTAATGCTGTTGCTCTAGGGGTCTCTTGGGAAGGGATCTCTTGGGAAGTCAGGTGTATAGTCAATATTACAAGCACATACCACAATATGACATGAAGATCTCCAGCTGCTAGGTCACTTCATACAAATGTATCATCTAAATTCATGAACATGGTAATGTTGTTCAACATTTTTAATCTAAAAGAAACAAACCTATCAATCAGCCTGTCCACTACATATCCCAAGATTACAGTGAAGGAGTTAGCCATGGCCTAATTAATATCATCACAAGTAACAGGAAAAAAAAAAAAAAAGAAAGAGGTTTCCTTCTAAGTCTTTGATTCCACTAGATAGAATGCTAGTACAGTCTCAGAAATAAGTTTCTGAACTTTTATTAAATTACCCCAGTGTAAGAGATGGGAGTGAGAGTGGCAGAATACATCCTGTGATTTAGAGATCAGGAGAGTTTCAGAGATGCCTGAATATGACATGACTGAGGAGGAGCTGTGCAGCTGAGGTTCAAAATTACCAGGGAGTCTATGAAACAGGAACCAAAGGAGTTGATAGTGAGCCTGTGGCAGGATTAAGCGGGTGATAATGGGGATATAGATGGTTTCTCACAATACCTAGAAGTAGAGAGCCCAAGTAGGGAGCCCAACACAAACATTCTTGAGAGAAGTCAGATGTGGAGGGGCAAAAAGGGAAAGAGAGAAATAGAAAAGGAAAAAGCATCAGGTGAGTATAACAGAGACATAGGCACAGAAGCAGAACAGTGTGGTGCTCAGAGCCTGACTGCCTGTGTTCAAATCCTCCCTCCACATTTAAGCAGCTGTGGGATCTTGAGTAAGTAGCCTAACCTCTCTGCCCCTTGATTTCTTCATCTGAAAAAATGCTAGTAGTAGTAACATGGTTGTTGGGAAGATTAATTAAGACATGTAAAGAATTAATAACAGGGTTTGAAACACAGGAGAACCTCAATAAATAGCAATTATTAGTATTTTGAGTGATCCCTTCATCTCTTTTGTCTTTTTGTTTACTTCTAATCTTATTCTATCCATTCCTCTGTCAGTTATTTGGAGGCAATTGAGCAATAAAAGAAGGAACTATCTGTGTTTTCTGTAAAACTTATTCTGTGACTCGAAATGGACTCTAGGAGGTGAAGAATGAGCCAGCCTCTTTCTTTATGCCAATTTAAAAACAGAGGAAAGAGCATTTGAGTCCCAAGTTCTAGTTGGAGCTTTTTCACAGCTAAAAGCAGAGTATGGATAAATCAACCTCTGTACGTTTTACTTTTCTAATCTGCAAAATGACAGCATGGATTTAAAACAGGTCCATTACCCCAAAGCACATAGGAGTGAGGTAAGAAATAAAAATAATAAAGTACTCCTTGTGTGAGATAATAGGGAGTAGTAGGAACTCTGGCATATGTAGAAGCACACACCCAGACTGAGGGAGTCCACCACTAAACCTCATCGGCCAACACTCAAGAATTTAGGCTTCATACCGTCTTCTTTCCCCCGCCCCCTGCAAGAGAAGCCAGAAATTCATCTTTTCTTTTTTTTTTTTTTAATTATACTTTAAGTTCTAGGGTACATGTGTACAACGTGCAGGTTTGTTACATATGTATACATGTGCCATGTTTGTGTGCTGCACCCATTAACTCGTCATTTACATTAGGTATATCTCCTAATGCTATCCCTTCCCCCTTCCCCCTCCCCAAAATAGGTCCCAGTGTGTGATGTTCCCCTTCCTGTGTCCAAGTGATCTCATTGTTCAGTTCCCACCTATGAATGAGAACATGTGGTGTTTGGTTTCCTATTCTTGCGATAGTTTACTGAGAATGATGGTTTCCAGCTGCATCAATGTCCCTACAAAGGACATTAACTCATCCTTTTTTATGGCTGCATAGTGTTCCATGGTATATATGTGCCACATTTTCTTAATCCAGTCTATCATTCATGGACATTTGGGTTGGTTCCAAGTCTTTGCTATTGTGAATAGTGCTGCAATAAACATACGTGTGCATGTTTCTTTATAGCAGCATGATTTATAATCCTTTGGGTATATACCCAGTAATGGGATGGCTGGATCAAATGGTATTTCTAGTTCTAGATCCTTGAGGAATCGCCACACTGTCTTCCACAATGGTTGAACTAGTTTACAGTCCCACCAACAAAATTCTTATTTTCAAATGTTGACTTAAATTAATTTAACACATGATGTAGACAAACAAAACATGACTAAAGACTCACTGCCCCTGCATTTGTGACTTTGGAGCCAAATGACTTCTAGAGTCCTTTCTAGTTGTAACTTTCCATCAATCGGTTACAGTGGGATGCTCAAAGCGAATGGCCAGTTTTAATGCAAACTAGATGTTCTGTGATCCAGTTAGTTACTTCTCTCTGCAGACCAATTTTTGACCTAGTTGAAAATGTTCACTTGGGTATACATATTACATACTAAAATTTCTGGGAAAATCTGACTGAGGTCACTCTTTTTACATGCTGAAATTCCTAATTCAGGTCAACATAGATCAACTTCCGATACCACTCAGGGATGTTCAATCTTTTGGCTTCCTTGGGCCACATTGAAAGAAGAAGAATTGTCTTGGACCACACATAAAATACACTAACGATGATAGATGATAAGCTAAAAAAAAAAGAAAAAAAAAGTTACAAAAAAATCTTATGTTTTTAGAAGTTCACAGATTTTTGGGGGGCCACATTCAAAGCTGTTCTGGGCCAAGCCTGGACACGCTTGATTAGATTAAGAGGGTGAAAAACGATTTAAAATGACTCTTCAGTTCTTGTTGATTGATTCACTGTCATTCAATTATACGAAATTATAACATGCAGCTCCCCAAAATGCAACTGTGAAATGTAGGTGTGATATGACCCCAATTTAAAATCCTTAGAGCTTTTAAATAAAAATTAAGGTGCTTGTTTGAGAAGCAGGTTTCTGAACATTTTTATTTACTTTTACTTTAATATTTTTTAAGCTTTCTGTGTGAGAACTACTTAAACTTGTACAGTAGTACTGAAAGTTGATAGAGAAATAATTCCTTTCTTTGGAGATAAAGAGATAGGGAAAAGTTGCTACCCCACCACATGTTTTGTGCTTCTGAAGTTATTTATCCCCCTGCAATCTTCTTTGACAAAGATGTAATTGCTTCAGCAATATAAAAGTTGAAAGAAAGCATTTGGCACACAAATCTCTGCAATGCATTTATTCTGAAGAGAAGTAAAACTGCTACTGAATAGCAAATGATATTCAAAGTGTGGTTTCCTTTCAAATAAACTGTATCCTAAATCCCAGAGATCAAGTTGTACACACCTCAAAAACATCAACATTCTTTCATTTACTTGCAAAATCAAGAATTTTAACTCCTACTAAATAGCAATGGGGAAAAAAATGTCCGTTGCAAGTCTGGTAATCAGAATTCTAGAATAAGATAGAAGATTTTTCCAGAATGCATGTTTTAAACTGGATAGATGCACAAATAATAGGGAGTTGGAAAGTGAGATGAGGGAAACCGCTGAGCAAAGGAAAATAATAAAAAAAAAATTCAAAAGGTGACAGAATGAGCAATTATAATTTATACCATGGCAGTAATTAATGTCAGCTTCTGTGTAAAAATTAATGTGAATTCACCAAAGCACTTTGAGATGACACAATTATAGCATGTGTTTTTAACAAAGGTTTGGCCAAAAGAAAATAATTGCTTGGTGCAAACATGGACCAACCAAGTTTTTGCAGGCTCCTTTTGCAATAACAGGCTAGATATTTTTGACTGATATATTTCAATTAATATTATATAATAATATTCCAGACACATGTATGACTAGCTTCTTTTAGAAAAGGAAACACCTCAGAAAATGATTATAGCTTCAATGTTGCCTTTTAACATTTTTATTTAGAACTCAATCTTTGCTATATGGTTCCCTAAATTGAAGAAAACAAAACAAAACAAAACTTTCACAGATGAAGCTGAGCTCTAATCAGTGATAAGGGGTTAGTACCAAAATCTCTACAATTTTTATGGAGTAGAATTTTTTAATAGACTTTTTACAGAACTGTTTGAACTAATGTATGGCCTTTATTCTGCCATTTCATTTAACGTGTGTTTGTGACACAGTATTTATGATTCAACCGTGTCAACACTAGAAATATTTTGTTCCTCACATCAAGTGCAGGCTCGAATAAAGTGCACCTTTTGATGGATGCCAGTCAGACGTTGTGTGTTTCAAAAAAATTAGTGTGAAAGGTCACTGAATGTAGAAACAAATGGAAAGGTGGTTTTGAGCCACAGCACTGAGCCCTTCAGGGACTTTCTTTTCCATCTGCACCTGTCTTAAAAGTCAATGCATGCCATTTAAATATCATGATTCATAGCATATTCCTTATATAATCATAAAAATCTAGTTTTCTGGTGGAACAACAAAAAGTGTCTAATGAAATTTAGATACTATTTATGCCTACACAGAATAAAAAATAAAATAATATGGTATTTTGTGAATGAACATATTTAACGCCAAGCACAGTACTAAATATTTTATATGCACTATTCTAATTAAAACCAACCTTTAAATCTATGAGATAAATACTCTTATTATAGTCATGTTATAGATGAGGGAACTAGGGCTTAGAAAGAGATAAAACAACTTACCCAAAGGTAAATAAATAGCTAAAAAAAAATGTTTTAAGGCAAAAAGCAACAGCAGCAGCAACAACAAAAAAAGTAAACCTTGACGCCACAGTCCATTTTTACAGGCATTATGCTAGATTGGCAGAAAATTTAAGTTCCCCAGAAATGTCTTAGCTGATCCAAGGCTGAATGTCTTTGCTTGTCTTGCTAGATTTGTCATTTGTCATTGGTAAGGTATTGATGAGACTTGACCCAAGTATAGAAATCCAAAAGAATCACCTTTATATTTTGTTGTGTTTTTTATAACTACCACAGCCCTTCATTTCAAAAATAAGGTAAGAGGAAGTTAACACCTGACAGACTCACGTGCAATGCTTTGATGGACATAAACTTTTTATAACTGTGTTTTGTTTTCCTTCATACAGAACCCAGTGCTGCTCCCACAGATGTCAAGGCAACAAGTGTGTCTGTGTCAGAGATTCTTGTTGCATGGAAACACATTAAGGAGAGTCTAGGAAGACCACAGGGATTTGAGGTATGAACAGAATGATTGAAAATAAGCCTTATTATTTCTTCTGGCATCACATTCTCCTAAAGAGAGATCTCGGTGACACTTCAGAATTTCAACAGAATTTCTTTGAAATTTTGTTCTATGTTAAAGAAACTAAGAAATACTATTTTACTGACATCTGTTATGTTGCTCATTAACTGGTTTATTTTTCAGGACAATAGTTTCCATAGCACTACGCAAAGATGTTTTTAAAAGATGAAAATAGAGTTGTAGACAAAAGCAGGAGCTATAGGTAGATATTTAATGGTATCCAATTTATTGGTCATTTTAAAAGTTTTTGTGTCTTTCTTTCTAATAATTTAACGTATAAATACAAGTTTTCCTTTTGTACTTTCTTGGTATCTCTTACCCCCAGTGCTGAATTATCAAATTTTGCTTGGAATTTAATGATCTGTATTGTATCTATGTATTCAGATAGTTTCTTTTTGTCCCTTAAATGTTGCTATTTTTAAACATAGTTATTCCAGTCTTATAGTGGTGAATATTTCATATCAAATGAATAACACCAATGAAATTTTAGCCTCCAGAGAGACCAGCAGATTGTGAGTAGTCTGTGAACATGAATATTCTATGATAACAAGATTCTGCTTCTCACACAGCTCTTGTTCTTGTTCTTGCCTTGCTTGGCCAATCATGGAGAGGAATAAGGGGGATAATGTCTAAAAGACAAAAAGAATTAGCATCTGACCCAAGACTTCAGTTGCATTTAAAAAGAATTTATTCTTACTTTTTCTCTGCTTCAGTTCCCATTAAGAGAAAATCATCTTGTGTTTTGAACAATGATCAAGTATAGGACTTGTACACTAACATGGTTTCCAGGCTGAAACATATTTTTAATTCTGTTTGAGTTTTCAAATAATGCCTGATAATTATTTGATTAACATACAGGTGGTATTAGATAATGATTTCTATGATAAAGTATTTATACCATCTTTCTAAGAGTTACAGCAAAAACAATTTTTGGGAAACCATTACCTACTTATACAATATCATGGACTTATTTCTACAATCTTGCTTCAATTAATTATTTGGAATAATTTAGTAAGTATCTCATTATGACTGCATGTTTATGTGATGAATATTTCTGTTTCTCCCTATCCTTCAGGAACCATGTTTGTTTATCATTAAAACTCAGCAAATGATAGTATATATATTTGGCCCATAACTGACTACAATAAATATATGTTGAATGAATGAATGAATGTTTGTGCAGAACAATTAGCCCCTTTCTATCCAACTGCAGAAAACATTGTGGTGGTTTTTCCAGTTTCCCTTCTCTATGGAGGAGGGACAGTGTGCCTCCTCCAGCTGCTGTGAGTGTTGACTGCTAATGGTTCTCAGCTCCCACTCTAGAGAATTGCCCTCCACGGAGCAGAGCTACATTACTTGGAAAGTGACCTCATCACACTTAGTCAGCCTAAGATCAATGACTGACTGATACTGGTCTCTTACCTCAGGGAGGAAACAACTTTATGGTGTAGTTTATGATACAGAGCCTTGCTGTATGCATCAGGCCAAAGCCAGATTTCCTGGAACCACATTCTTGCTCAGCTCCCTCTAGCTCCCTATTCTGAGTGCCTCCCTTTTTAATAGGTTTTACCTGTAAGCATCCTCATAGTAAATAATATGCACCAAAATCCCTATCTCAAGTTCTGCTTTTGGGGACTTCAACCAAAAAGAACTACATTAGTGTGAATTCACTCTAAACCTCTGAATCGGAACATCTGGGGCAGACGTCTGGGGTGTGTACTTTCAGAAAGCCACAAAGTATATTCTGGTGCATGGAAGAGTGACAATCCAGGCTCCTATATCTCAGAGGGATGTTCCTTTTATATAGCCAGTCACCCTCAAGCTTTTTTTTTTTTTACCTGCCCTATTAGCATGACCTTCAGATAACCATCATTATTCACCATGTTGACATCTCTCTGTGAGGTCCTGCAGAGATCACATGTGCACAATTCTTCCCTTCCTAAATATAAATCATTCATTCTTTAATTCAATAAATATTTATGTAGACCTATTAAGTACCAGACATTGAGCTAAATGCCAGGAACAAAACAATGAGCAAAACAAAGTCCCTGCTCTTATAAAGCTTATATTGTAGTAGGGAAGGCACACAATCAACAAACTAAGAAATAATCGTATGTTTGGTTTTTTTTTAAATATGTGATATACTTTCAGTTGATGATACAGGCTATGTAGAAAACTAGGGCAAGAAGGTAAAGAGTGAGAGAGTCTGATATTTTACAGAGGTTTGAGAAATCAACCTTTCTGTGGTTGTGACGTGTGAGTAGAGACATGATGTAATGAGAGACAGCAGAGAGAACAGCAAGCTCAAGAGCTCTGAAGTACTAGCACGCTGGACTTCTTCAAAGAACAGGAAGTGAGTAATTTTGGTGAGAGTAGGGAGCACAAGGAGAGTGGTAGCAGGATGATGATGAAGAGATTATCAGGACAAGGAACAGGTTTCTGGGGTCTTAGGAATCAGAGAAGTTCAGATTTCATCCAAAGTGTAAGAAGTCATAAAGTATTTCTAACTGGGAGGGACAAGTCAAGATCTGACATATGTAAAGCCTCTCTCAATCTAGAAGGTAGAGAATAGACCCTGGGGAGGACCTCAGAGAGAAGAGCAGAGGGGCAGCTGTTCCATCCTCAGTGACAATGAGGCTGCTTTCTACTAGAGTGGTAGCAGTGGAGTTGATAAGAAGTGGGCATTTTAAAATATATTTTGAATTGAAGTGAGACAGAATTTGACCACAAACTACATGTAGGCTATGAAAAAGATGAGACAAAGATAATTGCAGAGATATTTACCAAGAAAATAGGTAAATGACATTGTCATTCACAGAGATGAGGAACTCACAAAGAAGAGTGGGTTTTAGAGTGAAAATCAAGGATTCTGTTTTGGATCTTGAGTTAAGAGGAAGATTGGGGATGGAGCTATAACTATGGGAAATCATCAGAATATAAATAGTTTTTACGCATATACTGGCTGAGATCACTGAATAGTTGATAAAGAAGGTGCCTGAGAATTGAGCTCTGGGGTGGCCCATAATTTGGAACTCAGCAAAGGAGAGGAGAGGGTCTGGCTGAAGAAACTAAGAAGGAGACACTGAAGAAATGCAGAAGCCAAGAGAAGAATTTCAAAATGGAGAGAATGTTCCATAGTGTCAAATGCTGCTGGGAAATTCAGAAAGATGAGACCTGAGATTGCCAGATGGATACAGCAATGTGGAGACTGTAAGTAACTTTGATGAGAGAGATTTTATGGAATGCTGATAATGAAGGCTTGGCTGGAGGTTAAGATCAAGATTACTCAAGAGTGACACTCAAGACCATCAGAACACAATGTTTTCACTAGATTGGCTTCATTCAAAATAACTTATTGCAAGCAAAAATGGAATATATTTAAAAACAGAACGTTAATAAGAATGAATCAAATTCTGGAACAATCATCATAATGACCACATTTCTGAATTAAAATAAATCAACAAAAATTCTGACAATGACTTTATACAAAAAAATGGGGACAGAATTCATGGGCATAGTAACTATTCCATTTCATAGTGCATTATAAATTGTAGTTTCAAAATATGGCATCTTGTTACCAGAAAATAAAAATCAATATCTCATTAATTTGGAAATTCTTTGCTTTTTATAAATAGAACATAATTAAAACTTCGGCTAAATATGACATTAACTGTTATTTTAAGTATATTCTGCAAAGACTGTTTTTGATTTACACTGTTTCATAACTGAATAGCTGCATGTATATTTAATACTAAATATGATGTAGGTGAAACTTTCAGAATCTCTCTTACTCTCTCTTTTCTGTACTTTTTCTCTTGAAAGAGAGCTCTGCCTCTGTTCTTCACCGAACACATCTGGAATTTACTGCTCTCATCTTCTCCCCACTTATTTTTCTCTATCAAAAATGTCACTGAGTAAAAGATCTCCCTAATTATTACTAAAATATAATGAACCCAAAAAGCTTAACAATTTTTCTTACTTTTATCCTCTTTTTCACTCTATCCCTACCACCATCCTACCTAAATTTACTAATGGTCAAATTCAGAGCATGGTGACAATGAAACAAATATTGAAACAAGGGCAGTTGTCACCAAAACCAAAATTATCAGTTTCACATTTTATGTACTTATAATGTCAGTCCTATGAGTCACTTTTCTAGCCATAATTTTAACTTTCCCTGCAAAGTCTAAAACAGCTACTACAAAAGCATTAACTATGAACCATTTTGAAAATAGAGAAGACAGTGTTTTCAGCGGCCCCTCTTATTTTTCCCAAATCAGAACATAAATAAGATAGATAAGCTTCTGCTCGTATGAATGTTACATCCTAATGGGGGAAGACAATTTTTTAAAAAATCAAACAAATAAGTAACGAGATAAACTCTGATAACAATACACGTGGAGCGTCAAAAGTATAGCAAACCTGGTTCCTGTGAGAACAGAAAGAAAGTGAAGCACTGGAAAATTAAAATAGTTGGAGGATTAGGTAGAGACAAGATATGTATAGATATATGGATTATGAAAAAAAAAGTCTGTCTTGTATTTGAAGTGCAGTAGAAAGCCACTGAGACAATTTAAGGAGGGAAGTCATAATGTCCAATTTATGGGTTTTTTTTTTTAATCACTCTGGCTGCTCTTATGTGAAGAATGAAAGGGAGAGGAAAGAAAGGTCAGAGAATTGCAGTTAAGAGTTATCACAATAATCCAAGCAAGAAATGATTGTGGCCTAGACTTCAGCCATAGCAGTGGAGTAGGAGAGAAGCAGGTGTATTTTAGAGGCAGGACTGGCAAGATTTGCAGACTGATCTGATGTGGAGGAAAGAGAAATGATGATTCCTCCATCTCTGGCTTGGTCACATAGGTAAATTGTGACATTTACCAAAAAAAATGAAGGAAGCTGAACAAAGAACAGATTTGAAGCTAGGAAATCAAGAG